TCGCAAGTGTACTTTTTGACTCTGCCAAAAAGCCTTTGAACACAATAAATTGGTGCGATAGTGGCGTCGCAATTCGATTTTGAACGAGTACGCCGGCGGGCGGCGGGCGGCGGTCGGTCGGCGGTGGGCGGCGGTCCTGGCGTCGGCTCTCGGCGGCTTACCTCCTGGCCGTCGGCGGCGCGGTAGCGCAGCCACTTGTTGAGGCGCGGGCGCCAGTACTCCAGCACGTAGCTCTCGGCGTACTCCACGCCCTGGCCGTTGCCGAAGCGGCCCTGCGTGCCCACGGCCGTCAGCACGTGCACGCCGGGCAGCTCCACCTGCAGCCACTCGCTGGCCTCCGTCGTCACCTGCGCCTTCGGGCACCACGCGCCGCCCTTGATCTCCTGGTTCAACCTGCCGGGATACACCACATTTAAAAAAAAACTCATTTATTTTTACAAATAGGCTTTTAAAAAGCACTTTTACACGTCCCAGTATTAACCCTACCAATGCTTCGGGACAAAAAATGGGCCAGTGCTGAGAAGAAGCAGCGCAAGAAACCATTCATTGTGTGGAAAAAGCCCTGTTAGCAATCTTTCTTCCACACCCAACCTCCCATGCCGCCAGTCAATTCCTAAATCCACGATATCTATGAGTTTAGTAAGTTAACTAATTTGCTTGCTACACTCGGGAATCGAACCAACTAAAATCTGTTAAAAATTACACCCTGTATTTTTATTGCATCGATCGTTAGGGTTAAGTATAAGGATGAAATCTCTCAAACAAACTTGATAAATCAAATGAAAGAAAAACCATGAAATCTTAAATTATTGTAATTATTTTACAGAAAATTGTATGGTATGGTGGTAAATTTTCAAAAAAAAACGAAAATCTTTGAATGCAGTTCTCTTTCTTTTCAAAAATAAAGTTATGTTTTCTTTGAGTAAAATTTTCTATCTACAGTATTAATGGTACTTTCCCTCCAGGTGGCATCACAAAATTCCACCCTGTATATTAGAGATGAGACGTATTTACTAGAACAGATCCACACACTAGGTATTTTACAGTACTAAGTGGCACCTATTCCAATTTTTAAAATACTTGATCCACGTAGTATTTTTTAAATTACACGATTTCCGACCCTACCATCAAAGTAATAGAGGTTATTATTGCATAATCCGTAGTCGTGTATTACGCACACCGCGTATATCCTCACTAAGTATTTTTTAAATTACACGATTTCCGACCCTACCCTCAAAGTAATAGAGGTTATTATTGCATAATCCGTAGTCGTGGCTCTTCTGGAAGGACTGGTCTTTTGTTCTAAACGTCCTGCCAGAAGATTATCGCAAGTCCTGCCCGCAGTACGCAATTTGTACGTGTTTGCTTGCTGGTCCTTCCAGCAGTACGGTGACCTTCAAATTTGAACTCATCCTCACCAGAAGTAGTAAACACTTGGTTAGTGTTTATTAAATAAAAAGTCATGTCGTAGAATCATTTTGTTTAACCAGTATTTTACTTTTCTTAATATATTATAAACTTGTTTATCTTCTTTCAACTTAACTAATAGGAACTATAATAAGGAACTTTAAATTAATTACTTTGGTACGTCACTTTGTATTAGAAATTACACCTATCACTTACAAATACACTACAAATTAAAAACAAAAACAAGAAATAAATTATAAATGTTTGATTAGGCTGGAATACTTCACATTCATTATAATATTATCGCCAAAATGTTGCCGACTCCACGCCCGGCGCGTCAAAATGTGTCGCGCGAGCGCGAACGCGCTGCCCCCGTGTATACTCGTGCGCCATCGGGCTCCGACTAACGGTTAGTCGCGTTTTTCGATCTTGGGCACTATTGGGTGAAAGAGAGAGAAACACTCTATTTTTTCGTGTAAATTTGAAATTTGTACAATGTATACTTACGAAACTGTGATCTTTTAATTTTGCGTCCTACCGGAAGTACTTTAAGTCCTGCTGGCAGGACTCCGGGCGATCTATCTTTAAGTACACGCAAACGAAGTTGCGCTCGGTTCGCAATTAATAAATATGTTGGTGTAACTTTTAGTCGGATCTCCATTAGGCAAGTTTGTTGTGTGACGAGTTTTAAACTCGCGCCTCGGCCGAACGAAACATTTCGTTTCCAGGCAGGCGCGCCGCGCGACTTTGTGCCGTAACGTAACACTAAAATATTCAGGGGGAGGTGCACGCGTACTTCGGCGATTACGCGGATGTGTGCTAAGCCGGATCGAACGGCAGCGAGCGCTAAGAACAAAATTGCGGCCCTGCTCGCGCTGCCTGTCGATGTATTTCATGCCTTGGCTTGGCCCGCACGTGGTCACACACGGTACAAACTACAAGTGCACGATCTACTTCTCGGTACTGTTCGCGGTCCTTTCCGGATACATTTTATACCTACTTTACATAGCTGTAATAGTCACACTGTTGCACAATTTCAAATACATCATTTGAGTTCCTGACTCGTAGATCCTATTAATAGGTATGATACTTAATTTGAAAAGTCATCATTGGATATTTTTTATTTAGAAATGTTTCATCTTTAAACTCCATGAATACTCATAATACCTAACTCAACAACGATACAATAATAGTTGTAATGCGTGCGGCTTAACCTTTAACTATGGACGTGAAAAAATAATCACACTCCCATGGACGTCGGGTCTCACAGACCCCTATCTAAAATTCTTCTTATTTTCATATCTGAATTAATTTGAATTTATTTAAGAGTTGATATATATCTAATAACTATTAATAAAGGATTTAGTGGTAAATGTAATCAAATTTTAACCATAATTTAATTATTTTTTTGCAAATTTAAAAAACTTAGACATTTTTCAGTGTTAATTGACTTGCCATCACATATAGGCTCCTTGATTACAGTATATTATTAATAAATGAAAGTAATATTTTTTTCCTTGCTAATTAATAACCATGTAACATAAAAACATGAACAAAATTTCTGAAAGACATAAATTAAAAATTTTGACAAGGGTTAAAGTTACTAAAATTATACACAGTGGCCTAGAACACTAAAAACAAATTATCTCTAGAGGCATGTCTTATCTTTCTTTGAGAGCTTTGATAGACAAAATGTACACCATTCAGAATCGGAATCTGCAGCAATGGTGAATTCTAAGACATCTAAACTCAAAAGAATAATCGTCTACAAGTAATACCTTACTCCTAAAATGTTCTTTAGATAGTTGGGCTAATAATATAGCTGATGTACTCAGATACTTTCTGCCATTAAGTATTCTTAAACTAGAGCAATTTACTTAAGATTATAATAATATAATATAAAAAAATTATAGTTGACAAGTCACATCCATACAAGTATGTTTGTATGGAAATTATAGTCATCGGGTCTCCCAGGCCCGGAGAAAATTTTGGATGGTTATTACTCACGTAATAAGTGCCGGAAGACGCGATTTTATGCCTCATCGGTCCAAACACAGTTAAAACTGAAGCTACTGAGATGGTTGAGAGCAGCACGTGGCGGGAAGGTGTTTAAACCGAGAAATCGGAAATGGGGGTGGGCCTCTGAGACCCGACGTCCATAGTTAAAGGTTAACGGTCTTCAGCAGTCAGCCAGGTGCAATAATCACCCATATGTGAGCGGTCACGTTGTGGAATAAATAGCTATTCAGTCGTTTGATAGTGAGTTGTTCGACAGCCGGTTATGAATGAATTAGGAGCGCTTCCAGGTAGCGCGGCGCGTGCCGGGTCACGCGACGCGGGCCCGGCCCGTTGAGTTGCATGTGAGCCGGGAACATTGACTCGCGGGTGCAGCCCGCGCGCGCGGCGCCTCTGTGCCTCGAGTCTCCGGACTCCGGAGCAGGCCACGCTTTGATATTGTTGTGATACTTTTGTATTCACGGCTCAGAGATAACTCGTTCAGGAAATATGTCGACGATTTCATAGCGCTTATTAAATATAGCGCAGCTAATTCTGAATATCGCTGAAGCCGAATTCGTGTACTACATAGAAGGCTTGCGAGCAATTTAAAATTAATATTTTTGGAAGGGATGCAATAGACATTAATTTACCAAAAGCAGCAATATCTCGTTGTAAAAATTTACTCAGTCGGCGCAACGGAGCGCAATGACATTGATAGGCTTTAAAATGAAATCGGATTGAGCTTTATTGCAAAATAATGTATATTGGAAAATTCCGTCAATTTACAAAATACTGTCGTCGGCTCATAATCGGTTGCGCGTCTAATTGAGAATAGATACAAAACAAACACATAAAGCGATAATGATGACGAAACTCCTATTAATAGTGAGTGATGAGGGTGTTAGTTCGCGCCGTTTTATGCATCGCGCTGCGTTATTTATCAATGTGATATTTATTGATTGGTGTCAGAGAGCAGAGCCACGCCGGGCGGGTGCAACGCCCCTCATCAAGGAAACAATTACGGCGCTATCGCGGGCCGACGCGGGCCGCGCTCTTCGCCGGGCGCCGGGCACCACCTCAAGGGAGCCCAAGGCCCTCTGCCTAGGCGCACACGGCCTAATAGTCACACTAGCCAATGACTAAACAGGTTCGTTCTCCGATTCAGCACTAATCCCTGACAAAGTAGATATCTACACAACGAAACAAATGGTCAAGCTAAAACACTGCTATCGAACATATTAGCCATCAGTAAGATTGAGTTCGAAGCTACATAAAGTTTGTTTTTAGGGTTCCGTACCTCAAAAGGAAAAAACGGAACCCTTATAGGATCACTTTGTTGTCAGTCTGTCCGTCCGTCTGTCAAGACCCTTTTTCTCAGGAACGCGTGGAGGTATGAAGCTGAAATTTATATCAATTACTCCGGTCTACTGTCCCTTGAAGCTGTGAAAAAATCAAACTTCTAAGCCAACGCAATCAAAAGATACAGCCGTTTATGCCGCAAATTTTCGACACTTGCAAGGGAATCAAAACCTACAGGGTGCTTCCCGTGAACTCAGAATCTTGAAATTTGGTACGAAGCAACGTCTTATAGCATAGATAAAGGAAAAATTACGAAAACCATAAATTTTTAGTTACATCACATAATATTTTTTTTTTTAATAATTTTAAACTTACTACCCATTTCCTCATAAACGCGTAGAGGTATTAAATTGAAATTGATACCAAATACTCAGGTCTATAATACCTTTAAGCTGTAACAAAATCAAACTTCTATGTCAACGCAATCAAAAGAAACAGCAATTTAAGCTGCATATTTTGAAACTCGCAAGTACTCGCAAGGGAATCAAAACCTAAAGGGTACTTCCAGTCGACCTAGAATCTTGAAATTTGGCATGAAGCAACGTTTTATAGCACACATAAAGGAAAAATTCCGAAAACCTTAAATTTTTAGTTACATTACAAAAAATATATATTTTTTAATAAATATA